TCATGTAGTTTAACAAATTTTAGACTTAAACAAATTTTCTATTTAAGTTTTACTCTCAATTAATTAATTTTTTTTAATTAATAACATTGTTAATTAAATTTAATAATTAAGGAGTTTCAACATGTCACTCAATGATAACTTCTTATTCAATTACTATTTTGCAGTATATTCTATAGACGTGCATTGCACACATTTAAGTAAATAATTTTTTAATATATGTAATACTTCTAATGAAATACTAATTTGTTTTTTTCCTAACATGGTATGGATAAAATAAAATAAAATAAAATAATTCAATATTTATACAAAATAATTAAAATTATAATTTAAGAAAAACTAAATTAACATTATATTTTTACGCTCTTATCACTGTCATTTTTATTAATTTTTTAATGTATAAATCATATGATTTTTATAAAAATTAATTATTTTATTCATTTCGATACTAATTTTTTTTATTGAAATTCATTACTTTGCAACACGTCATTACCATGAATTATGTTTTAGGAGGGTAAAATAGAATATATTTATTCACTCTAATTCTTTATTCTCTTTTCATCATAATTAAAAAAAAAAACTTAAGGAACATATTTCTTTTCTCACTTCTGTTCATTTCTCTTAAACTGAACGATTAAAAATTTCATTCTTATATATATATATTTTTTTTGATTTTTGGCTCATTCCTTTCTAATTCTTTCACCAAATGTGGTATTACAAGATTGTCCTTAAAAAAGAAATACTTGTGAAAAAATCCAGAAAACAAAGAAAAGGTCAAGATTCCATCCAACCGACTGTATGAACTGACTTCTGAAATGATAAGTTACTTAGTATGTAACTGTGTTTGTATTTGTGTCTGTGTCATAGATTTATGGCCAAAATTTCCTATGTACAAGCCTACAAGGAATATTTCTGTGGTAGACAACTCATTAATATCACATTTATTAAAGGATTGGCAAATTTATTTATTTTTGTAATCTATATATTCTTTAATCGAAAATAAAAGATTAATCCATCAACTTACTTACATTTATTTTAATAAATATTTTTCTATATATAGGAACTCAAAGTTAAAATTAATTATTGATTTAAGAAAAAGTTATTTGCATGTGACACGACGTTGATAATTAATACTATTGGCTTATTTTGAGAGATGAGAATTTTAATTAAAAATTAAAATGCAGTCTTTAATTAGGTATAGTATTATATTTTGGAATGAGTGAATAAGAGAATTAAAAGAAGAAGTGTAGCAGGAAAATGCGTTGTGCGTTAGGATTATGAAAAGCCAAGATGTATATTATTGATAGAAATAGTGTGTATTTTGGGATGTTCAGATTCAAGTAAGATTCTGTACCTAGGATTAGGATTAAGGAAATGCTCGATTTTTGCGCTGCCATCATGTGTATATCCCTTCTCCAAAGCGACCATATCCTCGCCACTGTACATGAACTACGAGTCCCTTTTTACCATCTCAAGATTCTCAACTACAACACTGTGTTCCAAAGGGACAAAAATTATATTATATTTTTTATTCCATTCTTTTTATAAGTCTCAATTTGCACTTTTGCTTTAGGAGGTTTTATAAAAAGGACGGAAAATATATATATATATATATATA